CATGTGGCCGCTTCAACTATGATTGAAAGTGTGCGTTCCTGCATGGGCCCCACACTTGAGCTCAATGCGCATCTTGGTGACTTGCAAATGCCTAGAAGTGCTGGCCCTATGGAGGAGCACAGCCTTTTACAACAACAGCAGCCTTGTGCAATGGTTGCCCGGCATTCTGTGCCTGGATAGACACCGAGAAATAGTACCTGATGACCTGCCTGGATCTGCCTGGGGATCGAAGCAATTCACCTGTCTCTTAAGTGTTTTTAGACTTTGGTCCATCAAAAGCATGTTCTCATTCGCATGGACAGCATGTTCATAATCGCCAAGGCGGTTCCCGTTCTCGCCCTCTTCTCGCGCTCGTGACGAGCCTGTAGACATGGGTAGACCAGCACCTTCTGTCTGTTGAGCTGTCTGTCTCCCCGGCCATCTCAATCACAGGGCGGACATATGTCGAGGTACAGGGCACACACAGCCCTGGTTCTAGGGACCTGAATGGCTAATTTCATTGAGGAGAGATCCCCTCTCAAGTGAGCAACTCAGTCTGGCATCCAGCCTAAATGGAATCTGCACGTCTGGCTACTTGGCCGATGTTAAACTCGCTGTCACTGCAAGTGCAAAGGACATTCAGAGGTGAGCGCACTGTTTACTAGACATCTCTACGGTCATTGGTGAGGAGCCTTCGAAAATTATTGCACTTCGAATGGCCAAGCCCTGTCAACTGCCTGTTTTCAGTAGTTTTGTATTTCCTTTTTTTTTTTTTTTTTTACAAGACTGTTCAGATGATGGCCAGTAGCATGTTTAGGCACCACGCAATTGCGTGGGGCCCTGCAGTCCAGGGGGGCCCCGAGCAGAGGCATCATGCCCATTCAAACAGAGGGGACACGTGCCCCTCAGATTTTTGACCCAAGTGGATTTTGAGTGCAGCTTCCAAAAGACACAAAATAGCCTAATAATATCTTTACATTTGATACGATCACACCGGTGTGATTATCATCAGCTGCTCAATTCTGCGAATCTGCTTTCACTGTTTGGCTGGCGCTGAGCCAGAGGCAGACTTGTCATCTTTTCATCTATCAAAACTTTTCAGTGTTTTCAACCAGTTTATGTTTATTTTATGTTTCTCACACTGTCGCAAATAAAGTAAAAAATTAAATGAAAAGTGTTGATTGCGGCATTAAATTTATACTTATGTTGCATCATATCTTCTTTTTAGTGTTTTTTTCAGAGTTGCGCATTAAACGAATCACAGACAATTCTGTTGGGCTTATGAATGCAATGTCCATTCAAAAGCGTTCAGCATATAAACTAATCTTATGTTGTGTTTGTGGTGTGTGGATTCCTCTGATGAGTGGGTTCTGGCGGATGGCTGCTGCTAAGGGTTCAATGAAGATGGTGAATAAAGAAGGAGAGAGTGGGCATCCTTGCCTAGTCCCCCTGTGCAGTGTGAAGCTTTGTGATGTTAATCCATTGGTGGTGACTGTGGCAGAAGGTGTTGTGTATAAAATCTTGATCCAATTAATAAACGACTCCCCAAAGCCAAATTTTTGTAATGTGGTGAATACAAAATTCCAGTTGACACTGTCGAAAGCTTTTTCTGCATCTAAAGTGACTATAATAGTGTTTTCCTGTTGTAGTGATGAATAATGGATTAAATCGTATAGTCTGCGTGAGTTGTTGGATGCCTGCCTACCTTTGATGAAACCGGTCTGATCTGGGTGGATTATGAATGGGATATTTTTTTCAATTCTATGTGCAAGAACTTTACTGATTATTTTGATGTCTAAGTTGATGAGAGATATAGGACGGTAGTTTGACGGAAAGGTTGGATCTTTATTAGGTTTGGGGATGAGTGAAATAGTGGCTGTGTTAATGTGCATTGGTAATCTTAAGTTTTCTTTTATGTCTGTTGTTGCTCTGATGAATAATGGAAATAAAATGGACCAGAAGTGTTTATAGAACTCAGCAGGGAAGCCATCGGGTCCTGGTGCTTTATTGTTAGGCATTCGGCTCAGGGCGATATGAAGTTCTTTTTCTGTAATTGGTTGGTCCAGTGCATTGATTTGTTCAGTGTTAAGTTTTGGGAGTTGAATATTATTGAAAAATAAATTAATATCCTCTTGTCTTGTGTTATTATCAGATGAATAAAGTTTAGTATAGAAGTTTCGGAATATTGTATTTATTTCTTGTGGAGAGTTGGTAGGCTTCCCTGCTGAGTCCTTAATAGTTGCAATTGTTATTTTTTCTGTGTTTCTTTTAATTTGATTGGCCAAATATTTACTGGATTTGTTGCTGTGATGGAAGGTTTCTTGACGGAGTCTATGAATTAGAAATTGAGTTATTTTATTGATGATTTTGTTTAGCAGGAATTTTATTTGTCTTAGTTCATTATATATTACTTCTGTTGGGTTATTTGCATGTAATATTTCAAGTTCTTTTATTTTTTCTTCTAGTCTGATTTCTTCTTGCTTTTCTATTTTCTTTTTATGGACGGAGAATATGATTTTACCTCGTAGTACTGCTTTGCCTGTTTCCCAAAGCAATGAAGCTGATGGTGACTTTGGAGAGTCATTTATTTCTAGGAAGGATGTCCACTCTCTTTTAAGATAACTGTCAAACTCTGGGTCTTTAAGGAGAGATATGTTAAAGCGCCATCTACTGGTGTATTTATGTAAATTAGCTGGATTCCGTATGAGGGTTATTGGAGCGTGGTCACTGATGCTGATGGGTGGATTTTTGTATTCAGAGATATTTGGTATGATTGAGTTACTAGTTAGGAAAAAGTCGATGCGGGAGTAGCTATGATGAACCGGTGAGTAAAATGTATATTCTCTGTTAGTTGGATGCTGTAGCCTCCAACCATCGCCAAGGCCAAAATCTCTCATGAACTGTATTATTGTGTCATTTGATTGCCAGTGTCGTTTATTGCTTGTGGATCTGTCAAGTGATGGGTCAATTACAGTGTTAAAATCGCCTCCTATAATTACCGGGCAGTTGGAGAAATTTGAAATGGAAGAAAAAAAAGTGTGAAAAAAGGAAGGGTCATCTGAATTTGGGCCGTATATGTTGGCAATTGTTACCGGGTTATTGTTAATTGATATGTTTAGGATAGTAAAGCGTCCTTCTGGGTCTGAAATAGTTGCATTATAAACAAATTGGATTTTTTTTCTTATCAAGATACATACTACTCTTTGTTTTGAATTATAAGGGGCTGAAAATGAATGAGTGAATTGTGCTGATCTTAGGGTGTTTTGTTTTGAATCTGGAAGGTGCGTTTCTTGTAGTAAACATATATCTGCCTGTAGATTATCCAAATAGTTGAGAACTTAATTTTTTTTTGTCTGAGAGCTAATGCCACAGATGTTCCTGGTTATGAATTTGAGTTGCATGTTGATCTAATATTTCTATTCTAACATCTACTGGTGTATTTATGTAAATTAGCTGGATTCCATATGAGTGTTATTGGATCGTGGTCACTGATGCTGATGGGGTGGATTTTGTATTCTGAGATATTTGGTATGATTGAGTTACTTTAAGAAAAAGTCGATGCGGGAGTAGCTATGATGAACCGGCGAGTAAAATGTATATTCTCTGTTAGTTGGATGCTGTAGCCTCCAACCATCGCCAAGGCCAAAATCTCTCATGAACTGTATTATTGTGTCATTTGATTGCCAGTGTCGTTTATTGCTTGTGGATCTGTCAAGTGATGGGTCAATTACAGTGTTAAAATCGCCTCCTATAATTACCGGGCAGTTGGAGAAATTTGAAATGGAAGAAAAAAAAATTTGAAAAAAAGAAGGGTCATCTGAATTTGGGCTGTAAATGTTGGCAAATGTTACCGGGTTATTGTTAATTGATATGTTTATGATAATAAAGCGTCCTTCTGGGTCTGAAATAGTTGCATTATAAACAAATTGGATTTTTTTTCTTATCAAGATACATACTACTCTTTGTTTTGAATTATAAGGGGCTGAAAATGAATGAGTGAATTGTGCTGATCTTAGGGTGTTTTGTTTTGAATCTGGAAGGTGCGTGTTTCTTGTAGTAAACATATATCTGCATGTAGATTATCCAAATAGTTGAGAACTTTATTTATTTTTTGTCTGAGAGCTAACGCCACGGATGTTCCAGGTTATGAATTTTAGTTTCATGTTGAGCTAATATTTCAATTTTGACATGTATGTATGAATTAATTTGTATGTATGGGTGTGTGAAAGGATGTGTGTGTATGTATGTGTGCCAAACATCAAATACAGAACAGTAAGACATAATAACATTAGACAAACCTAAGCATTTTACAACAAAAGACGCAATAAAACAAAAAAACAACACAAAGTTTGAAAAGCATGAGCTGTAATTTTTATCGTTCCTTTCTGTTGGTCAGAGACTTCTAGTTGCATATGTGTAACAAAGTTTGTAGGTCGGGAAGAAGGAGGCGGGAACCGGCGAACATTTAAACAAAACTTTAATAAAATAAACAAACACAAAATGAAAGTAAAGTGGCAACCCCTCGCGGATGACTGCCGCACACAAAACACAAAATAAAGTCCAGGCCTGGTGCATGAGCTGTAATTTTTATCGTTCCTTTCTGTTGGTCGGAGACTTCTAGTTGCATATGTGTAACAAAGTTCGTAGGTCGGGAAGAAGGAGGCGGGAACCGGCGAACATTTAATCAAAACTTTAATAAAATAAACAAACACAAAATGAAAGTAAAGTGGCAACCCCTCGCGGATGACTGCCGCACACAAAACACAAAATAAAGTCCAGGCCTGGTCCTCTCTCGTCCAACACTGTCGTCACTCCTCCTTTTATCCTTCTGGAGCTCCTCCGTGGGACTCGAGACCGGCGAGTGGCGCAGGTGTCACACATTAGCATTTCCTCCACCGGCCTCGCTCCGTTCCCACGGCTCTCGGCCCCGCCCCTCTCGTAACAATATGAAATTACTCTCTCCTTCCCCTCTCTGTGCCAATACCGCTCCCAACCCTGTCTGGCTGGCATCAGTGTACAACAAAATTGGCAACTGAAAATCCGCATATGCCTATATGGGTGCTTGTAGGAGACTCTCCTTCAGTTTCTTAAATGCAGTGTCCTGTGCCGTTCCCCATGCCCACCCATCTGTTTTTCCTGTGGCCGGTCGAGTACATCGCTTTGATGTCCCCCACAACATTGAGTTCAGTGGTGCTGCAATCTGGGCAAAGTCTTTTATAAAACGTCTATAATATCCTGCTAGGCCCAAAAAAGCACGCAACTGAGTAATATTTTGAGGGTTTACCCAGGCCTCCACTGCCCACAACTTCTCTGGGTCTGGTGACACCTCTCCTTCTGCAATCACATGGCCTAAATAATGAACTTGACTCTGGAAAAGGGAACACTTACTGAGTTTGACCTTTAGGCCAAAGTCCCCCAGGCGGCTGAAGACCAAATCTAGATGGGCAATGTGGGCCTCAAAGGAGGGGGAAAAAAAACAATGATATCATACAAATAGAGCAATAATGTTTCAAATTTTTGATCCCCCAGGCAGCTCTTGACCAGTCTCTGAAAGGTTCCTGGGGCATTGCATAACCCCATGGGCATCCGATTAAATTCATATAGCCCCATCGGCATCACAAAGACGGTCTTCTCTTTATCAATTGGATGCACCCCCACCTTCCAATACCCATGTGCTAGATCTAACGTTGAAAATGCTCTAGATTTTTTCAATGAAGCCAATGACTCCTCAATTCTGGGCAAAGGGTATGAATCTTTATGAGTAACACCGATCAACCACCTGTAGTCTACAAAGAAACTAAGGGTGCCGTCCTTCTTTCTGACAAGCACCACAGGCACTGCCCACGGACTATAGCTCTCCTTAATAATACCATTTTCAAGCATGTGAAATGGTATAAAATGTATGTTTTTGCATTCGAATGTGGATTTTTATTTTAAATTCGATGAATATTCGAAATTCAAAATTTTTTTTTGACAGCCATAGTGTTAACTGTGTATGTGGGCCCACAGTAGTTTTTAATATCAGTTAATATTAGGGATGTAACGATTAACTGCGAGCCGGTCGAAAATCGATTGAAATATGTGACAATTCAAATCAGTTGAGATGCCAAATAAATCGCGATACAATTGGAGTAGGAGTTTATATGAATGAATTTGTTTTCTGAGGAGAACTGTCTTTAGAAAAATGTATGTGGTATTTTCTTTTCATCTTGCCTCTGAACAATGTATATTAAAGTAGTGTTCATAAGCGCTGCTTTGTTTACAGCGGTAACCCAGGAAACACTGTATCATTGCTGTTCATAAGTGCCACCTGCTGTCAGAGAGTGAAGCTGCGTCTCATTAATCTCGTCTGCTGTTTGGTTCAGATATGTTTTATGTAGTATAGTTTCACAAAACTAAAGCCAGACCATTCTGTTTTTGCTTCATATTTCGAAATTATACAGTTTAATTTAGATTAAAAACGACTTATGCTGCATGTTTGCGGCATCTTTATTTGGATCATGATTAAAATCCAGTGGTTGCGTCTAATTTTAAATGGAAAGAGCACAGACAAAGCCTTAGTTTGTTTGTTCATATTAAGAGATTTCTTTTATTTTTGTAACTTGTTTGTTTTCAAATTTCAATTTAGTTTTGTTTATATTTTAATTTCACAAAATGTGCAGCAATAGCCTAATAAAACAACACCTTTTCATTTACTGTATAATATCTTCAATTTCATTTTGTTAAAAAAATCATGAGAAAATTGAATCTTGAAAGCAAAACCGTGAATCGAATTGAATCGTGAGTTGAGTGAATTGTTATTTTGTGTATTTAATTTAAAGTGTGTTAGTTTTCTCAATTCATTCGAAGTGTATTTCATACAGAGGCCAATTCAGTAATTCTTTCATTTGTGGTATTAATTTTTGGTGTTTTTGCTTCATATTTCGAAATTATACAGTTTAATTTAGATTAAAAACGACTTATGCTGCATGTTTGCGGCATCTTTATTTGGATCATGATTAAAATCCAGTGGTTGCGTCTAATTTTAAATGGAAAGAGCACAGACAAAGCCTTAGTTTGTTTGTTCATATTAAGAGATTTCTTTTATTTTTGTAACTTGTTTGTTTTCAAATTTCAATTTAGTTTTGTTTATATTTTAATTTCACAAAATGTGCAGCAATAGCCTAATAAAACAACACCTTTTCATTTACTGTATAATATCTTCAATTTCATTTTGTTAAAAAAATCATGAGAAAATTGAATCTTGAAAGCAAAACCGTGAATCGAATTGAATCGTGAGTTGAGTGAATTGTTATTTTGTGTATTTAATTTAAAGTGTGTTAGTTTTCTCAATTCATTCGAAGTGTATTTCATACAGAGGCCAATTCAGTAATTCTTTCATTTGTGGTATTAATTTTTGGGAGTTAAATTCTGTCAAACTTGAGGTCAACGTGATTGTGTGAATACCCCACATTTTGAAATTTGTTTTCTTGAGCTATTCTTACTGTTTAATCAGGGGCGGACTTAAAGGAATAGTTCACCCAAAAATGAAAATTAGCCCATGATTTACTTACCCTCAAGCAATCCTAGGTGTATATGACTTTCTTCTTTCAGACGAATCCAATCAGAGATATATAAAAAATTGTCCTGGCTCTTCCAAGCTTTGTGATGGCAACGGGTGGGTGATTCTGTTCAACAGTCCAAAAGAAGTCCAATAAAACTCATCCATCCATAATAAAAAAGTGCCTCACATGGCTCCGTGGGGTGAATAAAGGCCTCCTGTAGCGAATCGATGCGTTTTTGTAGGAAAAATATCAATATTTTAAACTTTATAAGCTATAATCGCTAGCTTTCGCTAACTGTCGTACGTGGAAGCCATTCCCTGGCATGCAAACTTGTCACCTTTCGGTGAAATTCGCCATTTTGAATTCAAAATGGGTCATTTGTGTGATTCATGTAGATCCACTGAGTTTTTAAAATTGTTTGGGGTGGGGGGTCTTTTTACAGTTCCAGTAATACCAACTTAATTCTGTACCCACTTGAAGTCACCCACTTTCAAACACTCCTGTGTGTTTTTGTCTGCGCGCTCTGGTTTCGAATTACAAAACCAAAAGTTTCAATTTACAACATGTTTTGCAGCTTTGAGTATTGTAGCCAATCACCAGCATTTCTGTTGAAAGCAATGGCCAAAAAGAGGTGTTTAATTTAGGTTTACGTAGTTCTACATGTAATTAATTGAAATGTCAACTGAACTAATGGGTGATCCTCTGCTGCCATCTACTAGATATAATGGTAATTTAATGTAATTTTCATCTTAACCCTCTAAGCGACAAAGTCACAAAATTGCGACAAGACGTCATACTAGTTCCTAATATGGTGTAATATCTCATTTGTATTCCCTACCACTAGATGGCAGACATGTAGTACATTGATTCTAGACCAAAATGACATCATGTTCCTATTCAAAGTGTTCGAGGAAATAGCAGAGCAAGTGAGCTATCGTGTCATTGATGCGGAAGCAGTTCAGTTCATAGCGCACAAGTAAATTGAGAGATTTTTGAGAGAAAATCGGCAAATGGCTAATAAAAAGTTGTACCGTGAGGATGTGTTGCAAATGTTATTCGCCGATTCTGACTCTGAAGGGGAATATTTGCCTTTTGGAAATGACGATCGGTCATCTAATAATCGCGCTTCTCCCGGTACATCTTTGCAGCGCAGTGGTGCCGCCATGCAAGGCGAGAGTGTTCACGAAACACAAACAAGTGATAATTTTGGCCCTTTAATAATGTAGTTTGTGTAAACAGCATGCTTACGTTTTTATTTCAGATGTGAGAATAACAGTGCAAAAGAACCTGTTGCAAAGAGAGCCAAAGCAAAGCAGCCCACTCGGTCATGGAAAACAATGACTGAAGTTGACATGTGTGGGCAGGAATCTAAGAGCCTATGGAACAAGAACCTGGACCACAGCTAAGACCATGTTATGCACACACTCCCAAAATGATGTGATAGTTATAATTATTCTAAATAAACTATAAACAAAAAAGATACATTTATTTTTTCCTCATTCTGTCTTGTAGCAATTCCCTCTCAGTCACACACCTTACTGAAAGCCTCATTATGCAGGCCTTTGTCTTCTCAGGTGTGAATCACACTAATATTCATGATCATTCACGCCTCCTCGCATATACCTTTTCTACACATATTATTGTATTGATTACCACACAGTAAAAATAGTGTACCATACAGCAAATAAATCAAATGAAAGTAACATCTGTAAAATAGTGAATGCACACTTACTCTAAGATTCTGAATGGAGTTGAAAACTGAACCCACTTTCAAACACTCCTGTGTGTTTTTGTCTGCGCGCTCTGGTTTCGAATTACAAAACCAAAAGTTTCAATTTACAACATGTTTTGCAGCTTTGAGTATTGTAGCCAATCACCAGCATTTCTGTTGAAAGCAATGGCCAAAAAGAGGTGTTTAATTTAGGTTTACGTAGTTCTACATGTAATTAATTGAAATGTCAACTGAACTAATGGGTGATCCTCTGCTGCCATCTACTAGATATAATGGTAATTTAATGTAATTTTCATCTTAACCCTCTAAGCGACAAAGTCACAAAATTGCGACAAGACGTCATACTAGTTCCTAATATGGTGTAATATCTCATTTGTATTCCCTACCACTAGATGGCAGACATGTAGTACATTGATTCTAGACCAAAATGACATCATGTTCCTATTCAAAGTGTTCGAGGAAATAGCAGAGCAAGTGAGCTATCGTGTCATTGATGCGGAAGCAGTTCAGTTCATAGCGCACAAGTAAATTGAGAGATTTTTGAGAGAAAATCGGCAAATGGCTAATAAAAAGTTGTACCGTGAGGATGTGTTGCAAATGTTATTCGCCGATTCTGACTCTGAAGGGGAATATTTGCCTTTTGGAAATGACGATCGGTCATCTAATAATCGCGCTTCTCCCGGTACATCTTTGCAGCGCAGTGGTGCCGCCATGCAAGGCGAGAGTGTTCACGAAACACAAACAAGTGATAATTTTG